GAGTCTATGGGAATTATGGGGCTATCCAAAGAGGACCACATAGAATAGAATAAAGTGAAGATGTAATGTTGAAGCACCATATTCCACTCGAAACCCAAGAGAATACCAATAACTATAAATATTTTTACTGAAAGGAAACAGCATATATTCTGATATCTATAAGGCATACATAAAACATGTGATTAAGACTGCAGCGGAAGAATTTAATCAACAATGCAAGAGTTGAATGCTTCTGGCCAACCATTCTTCATACTTAAAATTTATTTGGTGGATGGTGACTAGCAGTGGAATCCAGAATGGGACTTTTCAACTAGCTGGAGGTACCTGCATTCCCCAGTGAGTGATGATGTTCCTACCGAGGCTCGAACCCAGTACCCATAGTTTCAAACGCCAAAGCATCATCCACTAGACCAGTTGAGCCACGACAGCCACCTCTTGTGCAACGGGTCATATTAATTATTTAATTCACTTTTAGACTTTCCCGTCGATTGATTGGACCGAGGTGCTCGGTCTCAGCTTGACATGTTGGCTTCTTGTGCACATGCTTCCACGATGTCTGGGCATGCAATCAGAATTTAATTGGTGGATGGTGACTAGCACTGCTTTCGAGACTCGGTGGGAACATCATCACTCACTGGGGAATGCAGGTACACCCAGTGGCTGGCGAGTCCCAAACAGGACGAAATGCTCGTTGTCCTGGATTACACTGCTAGTCAGCATCCATCAATTAAATTCTAATTACATGCCCAGACATCGTCGAAGCATCTGCACAAGAAGCCAACAGTCATGTCAACCTGAGATTGATCACTTCAGTCCAATCAATCAGCATTCTTCATACTATTTATAACTACAATCTGCAATTACACGGTTTGTCTAAGCACATTACCATTGGATTAAACAGAAATGAATATTATTCAATACGGTGGAGTAAAAAGGCATATGTGCTGTGTAGTTTTAAGTGTATTGTTTTATTTTGTCTTCTCTAAGCAGAATGATTCCGTTGAGAGGATTTTATTGTTTTTTCTAGACAACATTTTCAGTGTACACTACTCAGAAGTTCTCTCCGTCCTCCTTCATGGCTTTCAGTGAGATATGGCCATTGAAAGTGGAAGATATGAAAATCCTGTCTAGCTGTCTTTGATCATAGGTGTCTGCATTCTACCTATCAGGTTAGGTGGTATTATAGGGTGAGTATTATTGAGGTAAGGCATCGAGTATTAGATAAGGAGGGAAAACCAATAGACGAGGTTGTGCCGCTACACTGACTGACATGGCTAGGGCTTGTGTTATGAATGTCTTCCTCTACGGGAAATGTTAGCTGGCAAAGATTTGTCAGGCTGGGAAAAGCCAGTAATGGTCAAACAAAAACATAACATCAGTCACTGAAATCCATAACAGATAGTTTGAGCCAGCCAAGTAGGGAGGTATAGGGTATCTTGCTGTTTCGGGTCCTCAGGATGGTAGGAATCGATGAATGCTGGAGACAATTGGTGATATGGCTCAAAATCGTTGTCAATGGCTGACGCAGATGCATCCACTCTTTGTGATTCCCTCACTCACACTTCTGTTTATTATCTCTCTTTTGCTGAATCTCTTTTTACTCTCTTCTCTTGGAGGAAGAGTGGCAAGTTGATCTGGTGCACATCTGTGCCAACTTCTATGATGAAATCAGTCAGTTAGCCAGTCAGCATACTGTAATTTGAAATGAGATTTTTAGAATTCTGCTCGAGTTTGCCAACTATCTTTCCTTTGCAATCAATGATCGTGACTCGGTTTTTCTGAATATTTTCCCCCTTCACTAGTTTTAAACTTTAAAGTTTAGCCAAAGATTCTGTTATATTAACAAAAGCAGTGACATGACTGGGACCTCGACTTAATACCGTTTCTACGTAATCCATTCACTGACAACAGTGAACAAGAGTAACCAACAATTAAGTACTGAGATTATTGGAATCTAAGATCAGAATCACTGACGACTAGCCCTATTGAGGAAGTTAACCTAGGGTTCTAGTGGGAAGTCGTGACCAGTAGGGTGCAGCTGGTCAGGTGTGAAAACAAATACTCGCCGAAGACATTGGCTAGGGGTCGCGCTATGTCGTGAATTGGCAGAAGTTAGAATTCATGGGCCATTGGATCGGCTCCCAGTGGCATAATAGTCTACGAGCTCGCCTTGTAAACAGAAGGTCCCAGACTCGAACCCCGGCGGGTGCGTACTACTGAAGAGTCCCCGACTAGGACGAAACAGCTGTTCAGTACTTTCTGGTGGTTTTCCAATGGTTCTCTAACCAATGTCAGCTCAATGAAATCCTGTAACCAAATAATAAAATAAGTTCAATTATTCCAGTTGGTTAAACATTGATTTATCATTTGATGTCCTATTTCCTTTAATGAGTGATGCGAAATCATTGCTTGATAGCATTAAACCACCTGGTTATCACGTTCATTACTAGATCCTGATTTGTATTTTTTTGTCAATTACTCCTCTGAGGACTTCAATAACCTTCTTCACACAAAATTCGATACATGCGGCTTTACTTTGCAGTGGTATAGACAACTCCTTGACAGTTGTTATCTGCAAAGGTTTGTTTGACCACATATGTGATCGCGAAATGACATCAGGAATAGAGAACCTTGGAAAACCAAGTATTCATGGATAACTGCTTCTACCTTTTCGGGGACTCCTTAGGAATACGAACTGATGACCTCGTCGGGAATTGAATTCAGAGACTTCAGGCTACAAAATGAGCTCTCTGACACTGCACTTCTGGATTTCATCTCAATGCCTGAATGATCCGAGAGCTTGCTTTGTAACCCAAGGTCCTGAGTTTAGTCCCTGTTGTCGTCAAGAGTGCGTACTCCTGAAGAGTGAAAAAAACGAGGGCGGAACAACCGTCAAGTACTCCTTGGTTCTGTACCTGAGGTAGGTTCGTAATCGAACAGTTGAGATGGTCAGATACTGACATGTCGTACATCAGCTTAAGAGTTCGGTCATAAACGAGTAAATTTTAGAATTCTAATCCTGCTGCATGCCTTTTCACAATAAGTATGCAGGTTTATAACCTCGCACACGAAAGCTTGTTGCAGATAACTTAATTCCAACAAATTCATTCTATTTTCAAACTGTCGTTGGTGTATTATTTCAGTGACTTTTTGAATTTCTCAGTAAAATTTAGTTTCAATAACAATCGTTCAATAACAGGGTGCTTCGAAAACGGCTTCCTGTGAGACTGCAGTGATACAGTAATACTCTGTAATGTTAAAATAAGCTAAGGTCTAACCCAGAAATTGATGAGGACATTCTGTGGCTTCATGCTTACTTTTGCTTTCATGGAAACAAAACACATCTACCGACTGGCGTCAAGAAGGCTTTGTTCAGCCAGAGTAATTCATCCTCGAAGTGAGGAGTCTTCCCGATTTTGCAACTGGAAGTTTCAGTAGCAGAGAGATTGTTCATTAGGAGTCGACATGTTAGCCCTATGTACAACCTTTCCGTTTTAACAGGCTTATGGCCGCGTCGTCAGCTAATCAAGGTTTTCGCGTGCGACCAGTGAAACTGTGCAAACTATTCTCAGACATGTGCCACTTCCAAAATCCACTATTTAACACAAATGGGTAGATGTTTCAGCGAATAAAAGCTTTTAAGTGCTGGTTTGCATGGATTTGATCGATTGGTTACAGGATTTCATCATGAGCTGACATTGGTTAAACGAGACCATATGGAAACCTGTTGGGAGTATTGGATAGTTGTTTCGTCCTAGTTTGGGACTCTTCACAGTACACATCCACTGAGGTTCGAACCAACGACTTTCTAGTTATAAGGCGAGCTCTTAAACCATTCACAACCACTGGAACCTGATCCAGTGGCCATTGCATGACTTCCAACTACTGTCAATTCAAGATATAGCAAAAATATTCATTCAGACATCTATAAAACACAAAATAATCGAGCAAAGAATATTCTTTTCGATAAATTCCTCTTCCAGCTCTACAATTATATACACATGTTTATATACACAGAATATTCTAGATTAGGAGTAGTCAATAACAATATTAGTGTTTTCTTATATAATATGGATTTGTAAAGTAAGATCAAAATGGAATTACAGTTCATTAAAGATGCTTAAATTATAGTAATAATAACAAAGATATAGTAGCGAATAGAATATCAACTAAAATTAAGGAAATTTCTACAAAAATTGAGGACCATTCAAACCTAGATGGCCAAGGTAAGGATAATGTCTAAATTAACTTCTTTTTGACGCACAAACTAGGCTTGTTAATTAATACGGATCCCAACAGCCCCAGCAATATTTAGTAGTCGAACTCTTAAGTTGAAATTGAGATTCGTAGGTATGCGGCAAACGACCCTGAAAGCATGGTTAACGTCAATCTTGTGTTCTATCTCCCCAAGATGAGACAGAATAGTGCTACGAATAGATTTTGTTTGACCTTTACTTAACCAGGTAGGGTGATGTTCGGAAATTTGATGAGAAACACGCCTAATTGTACGGCCTATGTAACTGGCTCCACAGGAGCAGTTAAATTGGTATATACACATGGAAGAGGTGAAATAGGCCAGTTTGTGTTTTACTCACGAAAGCAGAAGAGGAGTGGTTTTAAAGATACAGCGTAATTCGGCAGCAGGGAATGCTCTTTTTACAACATTTCTAAGGCGCGACCACTAACTAATGTCATTGGTGGCGAGTGTTCGTCCGCACACAGACCACCTACTGTAATCCACTGGTTACGACTTCTTTTTTTCAGAATACCTACCTCAATTTCAAGGAGGCACGCTTTGAAATGAAAACTTGTATAAAGACATGCTTTTTTTACCAGTAGCGTCCAAAAGTCTCGGATTTACGGTACACTTACTGATACAAAAGAGTAAGTGATGGTCTAGAAATAATTAGTAAGTCTTAGTACATGGTAAATATTTCTATAATGCTTTCTAGTTACTTTGTTTAACTTATCATAATGTATTCTATTTCTATATTTCCAAGGTTTCACTTCATTACTGTTATCTGAAGAATGTGATATATTCAATCCTGTACACTTACAAGTATGCCAAGATATGTCTCAGCCAATAACACATTATTACATTGCATCATCGCATAAAACGTAAGTTTCTATCAAAATAAAGTTTACCTTCATATCCTAGAATGCAGTTATTTTAATACTGTTGAAATAATGCTAGAGCGTATAGTTGTTGCAGTTCATTAGAGGCCAGTGTCAGCCAAGGCTTTAAAAATCGATCATAGTCATAATCTGTTGTTACTTTCACTATTTCATTCCATGGAGTTCCACATGGAATATATATGGGGATTCAGTCTCGAACTATGAAGTTTCAATAGTGATGGTGTCTTATTGTAATGGGGGTTGGGGTTGTTAGTCTTACACCTGGAGCCCTCCTCCGCCACACTTTTCTAGACATCCTGCCGCCTCAGAAAAATTAGATGGTGACTTGAATGAAAGTGGAACTAGGACTTCGCACTTGGGCGGTGTGCAGTTAACACCACTAAACCATTGACGTTCAGTTAACTCTCCATTATTATGTTTAATTCGAATTATTTTCAATTCAACATCGTAAAAAATATACTGGATTAGTAATATATTCAATAAATCAAGTTAAAAATAAATGGAACTGGAGATGAAACAATTCAGAAGAATAAAAAGTCAACGGATTAAATGGCTGTAGCAACAGAAGATTCTCAGATAATTTGAGACAAAGCAATTATTTCAAGGGACACATCTGAGACCCTCTCTACGTATAATTTTCAACAAAGCAGGAATAAGAGTGGCATTCAAATCTACAAACTCACTCAGAGACCAGCTCTGTAGGCTAAAAGATCCGGTGGACCCAATTACGCAAAATAATATAATTTCCAAAATACGTTGCAATGACTGTGAGCTAAGTCAACTACATAGGTCAAACTAGTAGGTCAGGGGTAGTCAGATTGTCGGAAAACAAGAATTTAGCTAAGGTAATAATGGTTGACCACATCCGCGAAGATAAGTAATTCAGAAAAAAGCTCAGCAATTGCACTGCATGCATTAACACACAATCACACAATAGAGTGGGTGGGACAGAGTCAAAATTCTAAAATGTTAAATAGGTAGGTGGAGAGAGAGGTTGTTTACTGAATCCTGACTGGTTCATCGAGTCTACACGTAACACATGCAACAGAAATGACTCAATGCCAATACCAGAGATATGGAAGATTTTATTACCACCAGTCAGTCAGATCAGAGGAGGATAATAAATAATCTTGAAATTCTATTTCAGTTCAAGCACATCACAACATTCTAACAAGTTACTTATTTTGACTATAAAAACACTCGTCTTATTTCCCAACTGATTGTAATTGATTCATAACACTCGTATTATTATTTCTGAATGTACTTTATCGTATATTGATTTTTATTCAAATGTCTAATCGATTCCACTCATGTATATAAATGAAGCCAGAAAGTTGTGTGAGTACCTTGATATGATTGTGAGCAGCAATAAATTGTGCTCGAAACGTGGTCATCAGGTAATATTACTGTGTAACCCTCTGTGACTTATGAAAATAAAATCTTATCCATAATGGAGTTACACTCTACCACAGTGCCGAAGTTTTATACTTAAATCAATTATTTCAATTTCGACCACGGACCGATGTCAGTCAGTGAACCAATGAAAACTAGCCAGGAGTACTGGACAGCTGTTTCAGCCTAGTTTGAGATTCATTGACAGTAAGCAGCCACAACTAGAGTCCAAAACTAGGACCTTCTAGTTACAAGGCAAACGCGTAGACCATTCAGCCACTTGAACCTGACTCAGTGCCACTAAAATCAATAACTAGTAGAAGTTAGAGATCATGCGGCTATTAAGTCGCATCCCATTATCTAAATGGTCTACGAGCTTGGCTTGTACCTTGAAGGTTGTAGGTTCAAGCCTCGAAAATAGGTGTGTACTGCCAGTTAGTCCGAAACTTGAACGAAAGGGGTGTGCAATACTCCCTGCTGCTTTTCAGTGGTTCGTTAACTGACACCAACTTTTGAAAAACAACTATTATTATTATTATTACTTTCACTTCTAGACATTCGGTATCATGAAGGCTTACATATTAGTATCAGTGCATTCGATTCCCGTTAACCTTGACGAGTGACTTCATTTTCCCTTGTCCAAAACTTCACTTGTACTTCGATTTATATCGTGGAAGTAATTCACAGTTATATGTAAATTAGACATAGCTGCTTGAGGTTTTATCATTTCACATTCCCTCAATTGCGTAGATTTTTTTCCTCTAGAGCTGACGGTTCTCTGGTCTTAATTTCATCCATTATATTCTTAAGCCTTCCTTTGTAATCTATTTAAGTCAGAGGAAGATCCGATTGTTTTAACACCTACAGGTTAATATTATAAGGATTATCAGTAAGCCTACTATCTCTGAGCTATCCAGTCTGATCGTAGCCGTTTCAACATACTAAGCTTTTTGTTAGTCGTCCGTCAATCAGTGATAGAATGCTTACCAACCAATCACTCATGCGATTCGGGTTCGACTCCGTGCCGAGGCACTCCTAAACCTCATTTAGTTAACCAGTTGTTGGTAAGCATGAAAAAGGGTGGAAGTTGAGTGTAAAGCCCTAAACTCCATCGCACATCATCAACACTACTGTCCCTGAAACTTTACAGCTCAAGAGTGAAACACATCATTAAAGATTTTATGATGAAATCACTTGAATAACATTGCACCCTGAATGGTAAAGCTGGCGTGGTTTGGAGGATACTGAACAGTTGCTTTATCATATTCTGAACTACACTTGAAACAATTTGTGTATTTCAGTCAGGTTTTGATGATTCAAATTGCAGCAAGATTCCTGTTGTCATCCTGAGTTATCATATCTTTAAAAGCCGACTAAGAATTAAAATCCACTGGAACAATATAACCTCGAATCCCCTCAACTTAAATTATACACAATGGTGTATGTGTAGGTATATAAAGTGTGTTGAACACGAAGCAAGAGCGGTTTCGAAAGATTTAAAGTGTAATGTTTGAAGGATTCATCGCCAGCCGACATCGGTTAGAGAACCATTGGATAACAACTACCAGGGAGTACTGGACTGCTGTTTCGTCCCAGTAGTTTGAGACTCTTCAAAAGTGCGTAACCACTACCAGTGTTCGAATCTAGGACCTTCCCTTCAGGAAGCAAGCTCGTAAACAATTAGGCCACTGATTAAAGTTTGACCTAGAGTAAAATTATGTGAAAGCTAAAGTAAGTTTTAAAAACTTATGCCGAATTCAACCATAATCTGGAAGCCTAATTTCAAGAAGGTAGTAGGAGCTTTTATTTCCCTCTCGTGTGCGTTCCATATCATTATCTGGTTTGTTTTGCTTGTTTTTTTCTTTTTTGCTTTAGATTTCTACTTGAAGATCAACTTACAGGTCCTTGCAGTATTGAAGGTTATCAAAGAGCACTTCTTTCAGGTTGTAGATATATTGAACGTAAGTCGGCTTCGTTTTACTCCTCTTCTTTTTTGCTTATCTTTTTAACCTCAGACATTGAGCCTAATTAATGAATACTTTTGTTCATATTAAAGATTGGTTTCAGAAGACTAAAACATTCATTTACGCATAGTCTTGATATTAGATGGTTGAGGATAGTTGGTAGGAAACCTTCCTTGACCTAGGTCTCATGCTAGTTGGAACCGATCAGTCAGGGGAAGGCGTAGCTGTAATCCTGAAGGAACTCTTGTTCCTCCTTTTGGGATTCGAACCCATATCACTCAGTAAGTGCCACAGTTAAAGGCCTTACCACTGAGCCAGCTATTCGGGCTCGCGATTGGCCTCATGTAGGACTGCATTATATATTTTGTTTGGACACAAGTTAGTAACTAGTGTAACGTGTCTGATTGGGATTCAGTCTGCAACAAACAAAGGACCAGATATATTACACTAGTTACTAACTTGTGTCCAAACAAAGTACGCATATGGAAAAAAAGAGAAGACGTTCAGCGAAGAGACACTTTTCGGCGAATTCATTTACATAGCTGTACAATCGCATTTATATGCAATTATTGTTGTGTGCATGTGTGTGCACATGAGGTTTGTCAAGTTTAAATAAATAACCAGATAATACACGAATGATCCAATAAAGAAACAAGGTTAATCAGATGGCAACTAAAGAAATATTGAGTTAGTTAGTAAGTTAGATGACACAATATAATTTACTAAAATGTTTCAACTCAGGTGAGAATAAGAACAGAGGTGATTATAGGTAGAGACTAAGTAGAGGTCGGGTAGAGAATAATGCCATTTAAATTACGACTAAAATTGAGCAAATGAATTGGACGATGTAACATAAATGACTAGAAATTAAGCGTTGGTCAAGTCAGTAACAGTGGTAGTGAGGTGTAGAAGTTAAATCGGGTGGGGGTGTAGAGAACAGGAAGGTTGAAAATGTAAAAAATTACAATTGAAAAAACAAAATAATACTAATGAAGAGGCAGAAAGAAAGAAATAGAGTGTAATTGTCAGCTTTTAAGATAGATTACGTCCATTGCAGTTGTACTGATAGAACGAACTTCTTCTGTGTGCAGAGTTCAGGAGTCGGTAAGTGAATGACAATTGCTTCCGTAGTTTGCAGAAATTTAACTCGTGCACTTTTAGGAAGATTGCTTCGTATTCTGTAGACGACTTTGAAGTTTGTTTGAGGTTTAGCTTGGTGTCCGGAACCTATCAGATGTTCTAAGATAGAGCTACGGGGCATCGTTTTTCTTCTTTATGAAACCATGCTGGTAAGTGTTTGGTGATACGTTTGGATACCAAGCGCTGGATTCGCCTGATTTAATTTCTACACCTTATTACCACTGTTATCCACTTCACCAACTCTCAATTTCTAGTCATTTATGTTAAATCATCCAATTAATTTGTTCAAATTTAGTCCTAATTTAAATGGCATTATTCTCTACCCCACCCCTACTTAGTCTCTACCTGTAATTACCTCTGTTGCTATCTTGAACTAAGCTGAAATATTTTAGTCAATTATATTATATATATGCAAGCGAAAAGCAACAAGTTGCCAGAAGAAGCATCAAAGAAAGGAGGGACTTCAGGTGAACATAGAGAAAACAGAGGTGATGAAGATTCCTGGGCAACACCACCAACAACAACAACGGACAACAATCGGCATAAATGGGGGGAACCTGAAAGAAACAACCTCTTTTACCTACCTGGGAATCATCGTTTCAACTACAGGCGGACGGATCTGGTGAGGATATCACAGCAACAATCGGAAAAGCAAGACAAGCTTCCACTACTCTCAAGTTTGTGTGGATGTCAACAACACTCAGCATCAAACATAAGATCCGGATTTTCAACTCTAATGTGAAGTCAGTGCTACCATACGGATCAGAGACTTGCACCGTGTGTCATAAAGAGCATCTCAAACAGACCTACATTAACGGTTGTCTTCGCTCAATACTCAAGATCAGATGGCTAGCCAGAAAAGATCGGCAACAGAGATCTCTGGGAGCGAACCAACCAGAAACCGATTGTGAAACAAATAGGCAGGAAGAAATGGAGATGGACTGGCCATATTCTGAGGAAACCATCAAGTGAGTGACATCACTAGACAAACACTCGAGTGGAACCCTAAAGGGAAGCGGCGAGTTGGTCGTCAGTGTGAGGGTGAGTTGGATGAGGTCATGTGAAGAGGAGATGAAAAAGTGTGGGCAGACATGGGGCCAGGTGAAGACTCTAGCAGAGAACCGAACGGAATGGAGACGCACGGCTGAAGCCCTATGTTCCTCTAGGAATTAAAGGAAACAATAATAATAATACGTCATCTAACTCACTAACTTAGTCTTACTTTAGTTGCTGTCTGATTAAACTTTTTTCTATATTAGATCATTCTTGTATTACCTGATTAATTATCTAAACTTGACAAACCTCATGTATACACACACAAAAATAATTATTGTTTATAAATGAGATGGTGCAGCTATGTGAATGAATTCGCCGGCGAAAAGAGTCTCTTCACTGAATGTTTTCTCCTTTTTTTCATATGACTCAATGAGGATTTCTAAGCTACTTAAACGGTGAAAGTACGCATAGTTTTATTCAAAGCATTAAATAATAATAATAATGAAAACGGCTTTTTATTCTAATCAACAGATTCGTAACAGCACGGGATTCACAGCATGTAGTACAGTAGTACGCATAACTTTCTCTTTATATTACATAGTAAAGAGACAAATAACTACCAGGACACTTACATTAATAATAAAGATTAAAGTCAACTGGTAGATGGTGACTGGTAGTGGGATCAAAGATGTTCATTTTGTCCCATATAGGAGTCGTCAACTAACTAGAGGTACCTGCATTCCCCAGTAAGTGATGGTGGTGTTCTCACCGAGGCTCGAACCCAGCGCTCGAACGTCAAATCGTTATCTACTAGATCACTTGGACCACGAGAAACACCTTTTTTGCAACAGGCCTTATTAATTATATAATTCACTTTAAATTGACTTCAAGTTAAACGACTAGACATGTACTGGATAGCTGTTTCGTCCTGTTTTAGGACTCTTTAGCAACATACGCTCACGGAGTAGAGCCAGAGATGAGGATCTAATCAAAAAGTAAATATCTCTTCGCTCACTCCTTTTGCTTTCTAAATATTGTGAATTGGCAGAAGTTGGAATTTTATGCACTTGACACTAGATCGGATCCCAGTGGCTTAATGGTGTACAACCTGGCCTTGTTACCAGTAGGTCCTGAGTTCGAACCCCGTGGGCGCATTTTACTAAGGAGTCCCAAACTAGGACGAGACAGCTATCCAGTATTCCCAGGTTTTCCAATGGTCCTCTAACAGTTGTCAACTCATCTCATCCCGTCGATTCTCCGCAATGGTCCTGGTATTCACCCACGGTAAAAGACTGAGGCCAGTGACGCATTAGAACTCATAAATCTAAACTTCATATTCAGGAAATGGTTCGTAAAGCTACCATTTCATACTTAGACAGTGAAAAGCAAGCTAACTGATTATAGCACTACTGCTCTTTTGTATATGTTTCAATCCCCTTCTTACTGGTTGTTGGCAACTCTTCCTTAGACTTGGTGCATTATAACAATAAACAACAAATTGAGTGAAGAAATATATTCCTTTTCAAGAAGGTTCCTCATCATAGGCTCTACACTAAAATATAGTTTTTTCAACTGCTGGTTTCCAGGATTTTGATTGGCTTCAGGATTTCATCATGAACTGAAATCGGTTAGAGGACCACTAAAAAACCTGGGAGTACTGGAGAGACGTTACGTCTAAATGTGGATTTTTTCTATACTGAATTCACGATATGGCACGACTACTAGCTAATGTCACCAGCGGCTAGTATTTGTTCTCACTCCCGACCTGCTGTACCCTACTGGTCACGGCTTCCCATTATATTTCGTTTTCTCTGTCAAATGGCCACCATCAATCGAATGAAACAAAATACACACAGTCAGATGAGTTTCGCCCATCCTTCTAACCCTGATTGTTTGAAATTAAATCTTTATATGTATAAATCTTTACATATTAGAGTAACTCCTGAGGAGGTCTAATTGAAAATAGTATTAGAATATCGTCTTATGTCATTTACAATGCTGCAGAAAATACTCGCATACTATGCAACTGCATGAAACAATTAGTTCGGGATGGTTAACAGCGGAATTCTCAGGATGCGCATTTCGTCCTATCCAGGACTTGCCAGTTGGATATGCCTGTACATCCGATAAGTGGTAGTGTTCTCCCTGAGAATTGGATCCAGAAAACACTGGAAGGAGCATTCATCGTGAATTCTGCGACTAGCTTGCAGCAACCAAGTGACGCATTTTTAATCTGAAAGCATTACCAAATTATCCGCGCCACTAACTTACATGTCAGAAAAGCGCAAGCATGTCATCTCAATAGAAATTAGTCAACGGGAATTTTGAAGTACCTTAAATTAATAATGGAACTTTTATCTTAGGAGTTTCAGCCATCAACCTTCCTTGGTAAATTTTTTGGGGGAAAAGTGACTTGATACAGAATAATGTGACAGATTATGGAATCATGCTAAAAATAACCCAAAAGATAACCTAACGCTTGCATAAGGATAAATCGTTTAACATATTTAATGTCGCTTATTCAACTTCTAATTGAAAGTGCATTAACATTATTTGAAATCCTTACCATTACTATTCCTAACAAACAATAATGCATTCTACTCTACTCTTCTTTTTTTCTAATCAAGTTGAAGTCTACGATGGTCACGATGGTCATCCAGTTGTCAGACGTGTAAACTCACGACCTCCTGGCATTCCAATACAAGCTGTATTAAATACAATACATGATTTTGCATTCATTCGTTCAGAGTGAGTAATAACTGCCTTGCCTTCTTTCAACCTTTACCTCTTTGATAAAATGATGCTTAGAAATGTAATGCGTAATATGGAGAAACTGTCGGGTAGAGAAGAAATATTTTTGTTTATTCCTTCATATTCCTAGTGGAAAACAGAGCTTCAAGCTAGAGATTCGAATTCTCGGTAGCAGTGGGTGTATTTTTACGGAGCGCAGTCGCTAGCCTCACACCCATCCTTCCCTCTTAATCAGCCTTACTATCCGCTTCGTGAGGTTTAGGAGAGAGTCGGTCGGAGATGGAATCCTGGAGCACTTGGAGCATGGTTGACGAGTCTTCTGCAGCAGAACCACCAACGCTACTACAAAGTTAGTTGTAATATACTGTGCAATCTATACGCATTCTTATCTAACGTAAGTCCAATGGTAAAATGAACGGCAACCATATACACAGTCTGTGTTTGACTCCCAACTGACGTTTTGCCAGACCTCTGCTGATTTACTGGCTGGAAAGAAACCCAGAAGAGAGGCTAGGGGAGGATGAGTATGAGACTAGCAGTTGCACCATTTGCAAAGTGTTTGAAGCCCTATCTTCCAACTGGAAGGTGAAGAACGAAATCTGTAAACACTCGTCTTCATCTTCTCTTGAATAATTTCCAATTATACAAAATTGAATATCTATTTCTATAGTTTTTGGAAAGCTAAATTTCACTGACATTCCAGTGGACTTGCATCTTTATTAGGCCAAGTTAAACTTTAAGCACCACTAACTACCAATGGGCGTCGGTGGCATAGCGGTCAGGACGCTCGCCGACCATGCAAATGGTCCGGGGTTCGATTCCCGGCCGGCGCACTCCTTTACCTCGCTGAGCCAGAAATAATGCTGGTGAAGAGGAAAGGTTGGGCATGAGGCTAGCAACCCCATCCTGTAAAACTAGACACTGCTAAAGAAACTTCAAGACTGTAGCTTGAAGCCCTATGTTCCACTGGGAACGTGAAGGAAAAAAAAACTACCAATGGAGTGCGACCGCACCAATGACCTTGAAATGCTCACTGAGCAAGTTAGTGAAACCTGGCAAATAATGTTTTCCTCATCAGTAAAATATGCTAATCGAATTGTCATGCTATTAAATGGGATATCTGGCAAGTTTCAGCTTAGATTTGGGAAAGATTAAGTTACGCTTTTAGCAAAGGACAAGTTAGGGTCAGGTTAACCTAATAAAGGCGACATTAGGGTTGGTTCTAGTTAGATTACAGTTAGTTTAGGGATATTTTCACGTTAGGGTTAGGTCCAGAGAAGATTACGGTTATTGTTAGAGTTAGAAGACCTAAATAATTACATGTATAGAATATGGTTAAATTTCTCTGTTGATATAAGAATAGTACTTGTGAACTGTGGCGATAGAGTATAATTCCATTTTGGGTAACACGTATTTTGATAAAGTCTCACAGTGTTATACAGTAATATATACTGATGACCACGTTTCGAGCACAATCTGTCGCTCAGTAAATATTACTGTATTACACTATGAATTATACTCTGTTGATACCTGAACCTAAAACTGAGAGCTATTTTTATCACATGTGAGATGAAGGTATCCTCTGTAACACTTTTATACAGATTTTTATGCATTTTTTTCTAAATATATGTATTCCATACACATAAAATGTTTCCTTGATGTGATTGGTGCGTTTGAGGTCATTCGCTGATTGGTAGTTAGTGGTGCTTCAAGTTTAACTTTGCCCTTGATTAGATTAGCTTCCAGTGGAACGTGGTGATAATAAAATAAATATTTTACATCTTGGAGTGGCAGAATGGAATTTAAAATTTCACTGAATTATTGTTTTGGACAAAAGCCTAACATATACTTTGATACAGATTTAACAACCGACTCGGGAGTGAGAATACAGGAATAAATTAGACCGACAAGAAAACTCTCGAAGATCTGGATTTTGCGGGTGGCTGATTTATGTTTAATGTCAAACAAACTCCAAAAATTGCTGGCGAAAATCAACAACCTGGCTGAAGAATCAGGCAGCATAGACAGGACGGATTGCAGGTGAACATAGAGAAGACGGAGGTGGTCAAGATAACCAGCACCAATCATCATCAACTTTGGGGATTATACATAGGTTACTTCCTTCACTTATCCAGTCAGGAAGCAGGTTGCAGCTACAGCCAGTCGGAACACATAAAGATGTCAACACCAACCAGCTGGCCAGAATCGGAATGACAAGATACGCTCTCATCAACCTGAAACCACTTTGGAAATCTTCTCCTATCACTCACCTAGCGAGTATAAAGAACAAGATTCGGATTTTCAACACAAATGTGAAGTCAGTCAGTCTATCAGTCTCTTCTTCTGTACGAGTCAGAAACTTGCAGTGCACATGCATCATGAAAAGCAATTCCAACAGCTTGCTGTAGACTTTTATCAACAGCCACCGCCTTTATCGGCTCCATACTGAAGATTGAATGGCCAGCTAGCCGGCTAGAAAGAATTAGCAGCATGAAAATCTGCAACTGAACAAACTAACAATCAAAATTCAATTGCTCAACAAATATGTTGGAAAAAAATGGAGATGGATTGATTGGGCATACATTGAAGAGGCTATCGAATGACATCGCACTCAATGCAAGCCATCACTCAAGTGGAATCCGAATGAGAAGCGGCGAGTGTGTGGTCAGTGTCATGGACACATGGAGGAGATAGTGTGAGTTGGAGGATGAGATGACAGAGCCAGTCAGCAGAAGAGGACAGCAGACAGAGTAGAACAAATTGGAGATGTGTTGATGAAGCCCTTTGTTGCAGTCGTAATCCAAGGGGACAGTATTATTTTTACTATTATTATAATCAACTTCTTAGACAAAAGAAGAAAATTCTTTGAGTTAAACTCCCTTCGACGTATTTAATAATTTCCAAAATTTAAATATTACTCATGCTACATGAAAAACTTTGCCAAAATATTTCAAGCTATCAATCAGTAGAATTCAGCCTATACCATACAAAAGATTAGCCTGGTGACACTTGTTAGTGTCCAGTCAAAGAAAGTTTCTTTTTTACAAAGAAATCAGTTTAATTTAAATGACATTTCCAGGTATCTGCACACCGTCACAAGTTACAATAGTTTTTGAAATACACTATTTCTACATGCATTCACTTAATGTATAAATGTTTTGAAGTCAAAAGCCCAAACTACCCTTAGTATAAGCCTATTTAATGCAAGAATGCCGTGTTAGTTTTAAGATTCCCTTTTCAAAACTTTATTTCTGATACAAGGAAAGTATTATCTCTGTTAGAAATGTTACTTTTGCCTGAAAATTCGTTACTTATCAGGTATCGTATATTTTTAGCTTTCTGAAAGTATCCAAGATGAAAAATCAGGTGTGTCTCAATGTTGAATGAACACGCGTATCAAGTTTTAGACCTGTTAAGGTGTTTTCACAGTAACAGCATTACTTGTTTCTGGTACTTCTTGACCTCACATGATGACCTCATAGTTGTTGCATTTCCAACAGCCATATTAATCAGCCTCAATCAAGTTTACAACTTACGAATTGGTTAGTAGTTCACAATGCACACCATTCTCACCTGTTCTGTACAAAAGAGTCTTAGTAAGGTGCCTCTTCAGTAGAATCCAACGAATATGCACTGAAGACACACTTGATGAAGAAGAAAGAAAGTTGACACAAACTCTGGTTGATAACAATTATCCAGACAAGTTCATCAGGAGATATAAAGTGGTTAGTGGAACACCAAGACCCACTCTCCAACTCGCCCCTAAGAAAGACGTGTACATCAAGCTACCCTATATGGGGTATCGTAGCAGCTTGATAACTAGACAAAGACTGAACGCCGCTGTCAAAAAGACTTTTTATGCAGCTAATATCATAATAATAGAGAATGTAAAGCCAATATATCTATCTAAGCCCCTCGAACATGCAAAAAATGACGTCACATCCCACCGTATTTACCAATTTGAATGTACATGTGGACACACATACATAGGGAGGACTCATCGGTCTCTGCAAGTAAGAACTGGCTTCAGAGCATATTCCTAAATGGCTCCAGAAACAAATGGAATCTTCAGAACCCATTAATGGTGAGAATAGGAGACCTAGTTCTTCTATTGCGAAACATATTATAGAGACATGACATAAAATTGACGCTAAAAGATCTTTTAAACCTATCTATAAAACGTGTTTGGGGGAGGGTGTATCCTAGAGTTTGTGGAAGCTCTAGCAATTAGAAAGTTTAATCCACCTTCCTCTGTTCAAAGCAACAACTCCTCATCTCACTAAACCTTCCTTGGTAAACTTTGTTTTGATACCAGTCAGGGTAGATGTACTATTACCTCTGCTATTTGGTTTAGTGGTCTTCATTGTTATTTTGACCTTCAGTATGTCCTTTTAACTTGACCTAAGTCTATTTCCTCACCTCTTAACTCTTTATTAATTTCATAAATATTCCTATGACAAGTCCGTGTTTGTTGGATCAGATTTTTCGAAATGTGTTGCGCAAATACACACTACACACACGATTCAGACAAATTACGTCTTCTTATTGCTTTATCTAAATTCATAAAGGGAACTAATTTTTTTTAAATAAAACTATATACTACTGATTAATTGGCATGAGTAGTGTCAACCAGTGTTGACTGCTAGATAGCCAGCCAGATGATCGATGGCCGTTTCGCTCGTTCGGAGCCGAGAACTCATCAGTAGTACAGTCGGTTTGACTCAGCTCACAGGATCGAATCAGTTCAAATCACACCTGATTTCTGATATAACCAGGTATGCATCTAGTCATCTCAATTTAATAATAATCATAATAATTTGCTTTATTCCAAAACAGTATTTGTGATACAGAATGGAATTCTCAGCATTTTTACTACAGCATTGCATCCAGTCAGTACATTACCAATAAATAGAATTCTACGTAGATTAAGGAAATCTCAGTTCATTACGACAACAAAATATTGGCATGTCGGTAGCAAAGCCAAAGCTGAACAGTGTTTGAAGGTGTTAGAAAAGTAGGTGCTATCATATTTACTGGCGTGAGCGAGAGAAAGAAACAGAGCAGCGCATAACGGAAAAGAAAAGAGCGAGAAAGAATAGGAAAAGAAAGAAAGAAAATGTTGTACCTATAAATGATATGAGTTGGAAAGACGAGGTCCAGTTGTACTACTGACTATTTAATGAATTAGGTGTCACGCCTAATGCTTTCTTTATCGTACAGAACACGAGCTAAGTAGTGTATGGTTGAGTTTTTGTACTTTCTAGTTAGAACATATAGTTTTCTATATAGGCTTCTAGTTTTGCCTGATGAGATGCAAGGGGAGAGTTGTGAGTGAAGAGGGTGGTGTGAGTTAGATAAAATGGATTTGGCCCATTTTTCACATGAGTCCAAGTGCCTGTCGACCAGAATATTAACCAGCTGGTTAAGTGGCACGTTGCTTACCCTGCTGACAACCTCTAACATCCTGCGTAATATGTTATAGTCTTTCTTCAGTAGCCCTGGAAAAACTAAGGGGGAACAATAGAGAATAATAGGCAGGATGCGAGAGTTAACGAATCGTAAGAGTAAGGGTTGGGTTATACCTGAATGTTTTAACTTCTTGATGTAGAAGGTAAGACAGAATATTTTCTTAGAAATCGCCAAGATATGAGACGACCAGGAAAGATCAGCAGATAGAATGACGCCTAGGTATTTAATTTCCGACTTGGTTTCTATTTCAGTGCCATCTATGTTGCAAACCTCGTGAGTGCTAACCAGTTTGTTTAAGTCGGATTCATGCCTAAAGGTGAAACTGACTGTTTGGCATTTGGAGGGGTTTAAGGTAAGACCGTTTTCCTTGGACCACTGGCTGATTTCTGACAGAAAGCCATGCAGTTTAGAGCAGTCACTTTGACATTTGACAAGCAAAGATACAGTCAGGTCGTCAGCATATTTGACAAAATTAATGTCATTTGAAGATGGTAAGTCATGTAGAAAGAAAGAAAAGAGAAGTGGGGGGGGGAATTGGTCATTAGTACATAATTTTATGCTGATTAACTTCCTTATATGATTCTTAATATTAGCCAATAAAAAGGTATACAGAAAGACAGATGACATGCACCGATGGCTGATTCCTTGAATACATTTTACCACACTATTATTATAAGCCACCAGTGTATTTACTATTATTCCACCCTATTATGTTTCTATGTGTACTTATAGATATCCAGTGATAGTATCAATTGAATGCTACGCATCACAAGCTCAACAAAGTGTACTCGTCACTTTTCTTCGTTGTTGTCTCGGGCATCGGTTACTCCTACCAAACTCAGAGTTCACTTTCAACCTGAGTGAATCACAATTAGAAATTGAAGATCAAGTTGAAAAGGCAAGATATCACAACTCGACTGTCGGTGGGAGTGGTGTTCACAAAGCCTATCGTAAGAATAGTCTACAAGTTGTCGATTTAAAGAATGAATCAACAGTTTATGCATCAGATGGTTCATATGTACGCTGGCCATCACCACGTGATCTTATAGGACGTATTCTATTGAAAGGGAAACGATTACCGAAAGGTACAACAAAACAACAGCGGCTACGATGAACAATGAACCAGAAAAATGGATGAATGGTGGTGTAGCTAACATTAAACGGATCTTTACTTCATCATATGTTGTAAGTGAAAAGTTTGAATTTTTCTTTGGAATTATCTTTACTTACTGGATGGTTTGGAGGCAGTCAGCAGGAAGACTTACTTGGTCTAAGTTTTGTGTCTGTTATCACTCACCAGTCATCAAGGCGTATCTCCAGACACCTAAAAATAACAACAGTTTTAAGTGACTTGCTACAGGATGGAATTTCCTGAAGTTCTAGTGAGACGTAGTGACCAGTGAGGTCCACCCAGATGTCACATGTGAGGATGGATGTCCGACCGATGACATTGGTTGGTGGTCGTGCTAAATCACGAATTGGTAGAAGTTAGAATTCATGAGCTGGCCATTAAATCGGGTCTCAGTGGCTGAATGGTATACGAGCTTGCTTGCCTTGTAACCGGAAGGTCCTGGGTTCGAACCCTGGCAGTGAGTGCATACTGCCGATGATTCCCAAACTAGGATGAAACAGCTGTCTAGCAGTACTCCCTGGTTTTCAATGGTTCTCCAACTGATATCAATCCGTGATCAACTCGTAAAAAATTCTAAGTGCATTGTGATATTGGGCCACGTAGCATGGTGCCCACATTGCGAACTTGACTGATTAAACTCTGTCACCACGAAGTAAAGGCCTGGACACATGATACTAGTCATTCACTAGTGTCCAATCAAAGTATCTTTCATTGTATAATTTGTTGATTCATCGAGTGATTTAGTCGGTATAAATGTCTTTCTTTTTCAGCGCGAACTGACTGATTTCAGTCAGAGAACCATTGATAACCATGGGAGGACTCTTCGGTGGTATACATTTGTGGTTTCAAGAGGGATGGAATCCAAGACATTCAGGTTACGAGGCGAGCTCGTTGACCAGTCATTCACTAGAACTGAATCCAATAGCCAGTTAATTCCAATTTCTTCCTCGAATTCGCATTTTTTACCGCCACAGCCAATCATTGTATGAACGAGATAAAATATAAGAGCAAACGACTGCATAAAGTGATTATAAGACTATTTTTTTGTAATAAAACCAAACCCTAATTAGTCTAACTGGTCTTTCGACGATTTTACTGAAAGACTTCCAGTTGACCTAAGTTAGAAAACCATTAGTAAATCTGGGAGTACTGGCGAGATGTTTCGTCAGACTAGTTTGGGACTCTTCAGCAGAACACACACCCACCTCTAGGGTTCGAACCCAGGACCTTCAGGTTACAAGGTGAGCTAGCTCGTAGACCAGTAAGCCATTGGGACCCGATCCAATGGCCAGCTCATGAAGTCTAACTTCTGCTAATTCACGACATAGCCCCGACCATTTAGCAATGTTTCCTTCGATGAGTTACTGCCTCACCTTCAACCTGCTGTACCCAACTGGTCACGGCTTCCCACTAGAACCCCAGGTTAACTTCCTGAATATGGTGAGTCGCTAGTGAGCATCAGATTAATTTTCAAGTATTGGTTTTTGTAAGGATTTTGTTTGATTGGATAGAGGATTTCATCATGGGCCATTGGATCGGGTCCCAATACCTCAGTGGTCCTGGGTTCCAACCCTAGCGCTGGGTGCGTACTGATGAAGAATCCCAAAGTAGGACGAAACAGCTGTCTAGTACTCCCAGCTGGTTTTCCAATGGTTCTCTAACTGATGTCAGCTCATGATGAAATCCTTCATCGAATTTGGTATTTGTAAATACTCATTTGATCAGTGTATTACCACTCTGTCTAAGTGGTAAGTTAGAATTCCCGTGTTCTGTACTTCTTTGTCCCGCTCTCAGTTGAGCGAAATCAGGTACACCGCTGGTTTGCTTGACCAAAAGATGTCCGGAACATCTGTCTGGTGTCTAGATCACCTCAGTCTGGCTGGCAAGCCAACAATTCAAGTTTATATGAGTGCTATACAACTACTCATCTCTTGCCATGCAAAAAGTAACTCTGTGTTCCACTGTTATAATAAATAGTTATTAAGCATTTTCATTATTAACTGATTAAAAATGCCCATTAAAATTTTCAAAAGAATGGACACGGAACAAAGAGTACTCTTTTCGATAAATTCATCATCCAGGCTCTACAATTATATATACATTATAATGAATGAATGAATGAATTAGTCTTATGAACGACATTAATGTTGCTGTTTAAATAACATCGAATCAATAATATTGATAGATTACAGCTCAATAGCATCAACATAAAATAAGATGAATGTCAGAAGAATTATGAAAGATAATAGTACAAATTCATGAGTTTATAGTTCCTACTGAGGGCCAGGGCGGTAGTAGGGGCGGGACCTGTTTCGTTTGAACACAGGGCACTGGTTGTTTGAGGCGAATTGCAATAGCCTCTACTGTTTGAAGCATGCAGTGCTTCGATGATTTTGGCAATTTATTAGGCGCCCCGTAGATTATAGAGAAGGATTCTTCTATGCTGGCTTTGTGACCGGTTTGCGCCAGATGGTCTAATATCAAGCTGTTAATGGTTTTAACTACACCTTTACTTAGCCATAGTGGGATATGTTCTCGAGCACGAAAAATGAAGTTCCTACAGCAACGGCCAATATAACTCGCTCCACAACCTCAGTTGAATTGGTAGATACAACTAGAAGTGACTAGCTAGTCTAGGTACTTCATCTTTCAGTCGAGGTAGCATCATCAGTCGTGTAGAGAACAAGACGTGTAGTTTGCCAGTATTGGAAGTTCTTTGAACTGATTTTCTTAATTTCTTCGTTGTCACAAACGATTGTTAAGGAAGAGTTAGGTAATAACTTTGTGAATAGTTTGATGAAAGCGTTTTGCTCAGGGTGTACATAGAAACAAAATAACATACGGAATTACGCAACAGTTTTAAGCAGTTAGAAAAATAAGCATACAAGCAAAAGTTAAGTCAAATCAACGGAGTTGTTACCATCAGAGTAGAAGTGGTTGAATAAGTTTCTTTTGTATGCATAGTTTTGGTTCTTCTAACTGAGTGGCTAGGGCTTCTGCAATGCAAAGAAGACGGAAACGTATTCTCTTTAGCGGGCAGGTTGTTCTTCACTTTGTAGATTACTTTGAAGCACAAGGTGCTTGTTGAGATGGAATGACCAATAGTTACGAGATGTTCGATTATTGCACTCCTTATACGGCCACTAATTCCTTTCTGCAACCACGCTGGATAACTTTTTTGACCCTTTTGGACGGGATGTGCCTTGAACTGCCAATGAACCTGGCTCTACAGCAACACGTGAACTGATATATGCATATAGAAGTGGTCATCTGTGGGATCTTGTCCCTTCGGCTTCTGCAGATCAGCGGGTGACCGGAGAACCCTACTGTCATTGTTCCCTCGAAGAAAGTTCTTCTTAAGGAAGAGTTGAGGTTCATATAAAGTATCCTTTTTGGCACGGATGGCGACTCTCGCTCTCGGATTTTCTGTTTGATGTTTTTGTCTATGAATCTCGGTGGATAACCGTTTTGTATGAAGATTTCTTTCAGAAAGTATAGTTCTTCTTCCGGGGTATAAGAGCTGCAGATGCGTCGGACGCGAATAGCAAAAGATCTCATCAGGTTTCTTTTTCGATTGATTGGTACCTAGCTGTAGAAGCTTGTCAGTTGGCCGTTCCATGTGGCTTTTTTATGGAAAGTTCCGTCAGGTCTCCTTGTAAGTTCACCCTCAAGAAAAGGAACTTATGATCCGTTTTCTTTGTCAAAAGTGAACTTTGTAGATGAATGACAGTTGCTGAATATTTGTAGTAACTGATTAAGATCGTGACCATCATCACAGATAATAAAGATGTCGTCCACATATCTAACATACAATTGTTTCCATGTCCAGTCTGAGCACAACTCTTTCATCAAAGTATTCATGGTATTGTCTAACTCTTCTTTAACAATAGTTTGTGACAACTCATCACTTTTGTTACTACCCTCCTATGTAAACATACAATTCATCTGAACTTACTAATTGTGTATTCAGCTGTAATCTATCAATATTCTTGATTCGATGTTATTTAAACAACATTAATGTCGTTCATAAGATTAATTCATTCATTCACTATAATGTATATATAATTGTAGAGCCTGATGATCAAGTTATCGAAAAGAATACTCTTTGTTCTGTGTCCATTGTTTTGAAAATTTTCATTATTATTATTGTGTTTTTTTCAGATGACAAATTATAGTTAAACATGCTTCTTATTTTCTTTCTTTCCTCTTCTCCTGGCATAGACACCATGTCAACAACCAACTACAGTTATCAGGGAATTATCTGATATGTTTTTCTTCGATACAACTAATTATGAGTACATTCCCAATAGTGATTCACTTAAATGTAAGTGATTTAACCTCATTCCATTTCCCTCATACAAGTCATATTTAATTCCATAAACATGCCATGCATATTATTGAATTTACTGTGGAAATTAAGTGGTCGCAGAGACAATATGCTGAGATTTACTGTCCACTTGCCATTTTGCGATGAACTGGAAGTAGTCTGACGAGACCTTTAAACTGCTTGGCACTCAAAACCCTTCCGAGTGAGACCTGAATGAAAGATGACAGGCTAGACATCTGACGATGGCGTAGAGAAAATCTTGTGAAGAGGATGTGAAGGCTTGTTGGCAGTTGTAGAGCCAGCTATAAGAGACCTCTGAGATCCGAGTGCGATAAGGATGTGCTACTGAGGCCCACTATTTCCCTTGGAAATCAAGCGATGAATAATAAAACAAAATAATAATAACTTCTATGAGATCTCCAACCTGTTCTCCAGGGAATTTAGGTCGGGCGGATATTTTCTCTCATACGTGTATTCATTCAAAATTGCTGATTAAGGCTTAATATATCTAATTGAATATGATGCAGAAGATTTGTAGCTCAGGTGGATGATTTTGATGTGGTTGCCCTCTACTGGGCAACATCTTCAGCGCATACTTCAATTTGAATTGAAGTGAGCTTGTAGATTTCTCCACGAGTTTATTAGTTACCTCTCTTCATGGGTGACCTTGAACGTGACTGGTTGTCTCCGTGTGTTTTCACATCTTCTAGGTTACTTGTATGTGAAGGTGTGAAAACACACGGAGACAACCAGTCACGTTCAAGGTCACCCATCAGGAGAGGTAACTAATAAACTCTTGGAGAAATCTAAAATCTCACTTCAATTCAAATTGAAGTACGCGCTGATGTTGCCTAGTAGGGCAATGAAAGCTTCGCAAATAAACCATCCAGCTAGCTCAGAGAACATAACCACATCGATATATCTAATTAAATATCATACCAAATTCGAGTAAAGCACCTACATTTAGATAACATCGATAATATTTCTGCCGAATCAAAGAAGAACATAAAAGAACCATATCGTAAGATTTCGCAAATAGTCCAAATAATATATATGTATATATACACATAAATTATCCTGTGCATTGGTTTTGTGGCAGTCAAGCAGTTTCAACAGAATTTTACGAACTTCAGTTTCACGTATTCTCTCCTTCCCCGTGAAACAAGGATAAACAGAAAGAGTATGCATTACTAGCTGTAGAAGGTGACTTGACTAGCGGTGGAGTTCATGTTGCACGTTCACGCTGTCCTCTTTCACTGGATTTATCGATGATTATGACTGAGTGATTGGCTTCACCCACTTAGACTTGAACGCAGTACCCACCCTTTTAATCTTCGGAGCGTTATCCATTAGACTGCTTGGGCTGGAAGAGAGAGACAACTCTTGTGCAACAGACATCAGTTATTATGGCTTTTCTGCCACTTAAACTGACTGGAGTTTAAAAGGATAAATCCCAGTGGAAATATCGTCAGTCAGTGGGGATAGCTGACGAATTCCGCATGGCATAAAATGCGCCGCCTCAATTTCACTGCTAATCACCACTCACAAAGTAACATTACTTTAATCCTTAAACATCGTTGAAGTATACGTACTAGAAGCCGAATATTACGGCCTAATCAGTCAACAGGGAAGATAGAATTGCTATAAAATAATGACAGTATACATTGTTTGGATTCCCCATCAACCGAATTCCAAGTATCTGTTGAAATATCAGCTCGTGGTATGAATGCTCCGACGATACCTGAAAGTCAGCTAACAGTACGATCTAAAAGAAATGTTTTGTCCCATTTGAGACTCGTCATCTGGATGTATCTTAATGTCTAGTGAGTGATGACACTGTTGGAAATCGCTTCGGTTAATTTATTTATAACTCAAAAACTGGAATTTAATTCAGCGCTAAAGTTGAATCTCAACAGTTGTGCAAAATGAAGTTATATCGAATAAATTCATCTACGTTTTCTTATTCCTTCGCGTTGACAGTGAAACATAGACCTTCAAGCTAGAGGCTTGAAGTTTCTGTAGCAGTGGTGCTTATTTTTACGGGATGGGGTTGCTAGCCTCATGCCCTCCCACCTTCCCTCCTTACCAGCCTTATTACTGGCTTAGCAAGGTAAACGAGTGTGTTGGCCGGGAATCGAACTCCGGGCCAAACAAGGCTTGGTTGGCTAGCATTCTATCGCTTCCACTTCCACGTTTATTATTCATATTAATAGGAGTAAATGTTTTACCAACTGCCCAACTGGAACACCAGTAAGGTTGTTGATCGACAATCACATTATATAAAACTTTACAACTACAATCCAATTATAAATGAGTGGTGTTCAGTGGCGTTGGAAAGGAAAGCTGAATGAAATTGCAGTCAAAATCTGTTGTATGCAATCATATGTGGTTGAAAAATTACACGAAAAAATAATACTATATCATTCCATGAGGTCATAAAATAAACAAATCCATTGTAAGATGACAGCTTTGTGTCATAGATCATAGCCTGCTCTTACATTTTGGTTGGTTTGTTTACAGCGAAAGTTCTATTGACACAACTCTTCAATTGTCACAATGATCAGTGCGTATATGTGTGTGCTTGCGTGTCACGCGATTTGTAAACAAATTTAGTAACTGTCTTAAAATAATAAAGAAATAAACAAACTAATATGCATCACTTATAAAATTAGTTAAAGAAGGTTAAACCGGTGTTTCTTATACCAAGGATTATCCACGTTAGCAGTCTTTTGGGCTAATAGAGAGGATTTGTAGCTGAGGTGGATGCTGTTGAATTAGTTGTGCTCATTTTGATGTGGTTGTGTTCTCTGAGCTAGCTGGATAGTTTATTTTGCGAAGCTTTCATTGCCCTATTAGGCAACATCTTCAGCGCATACTTCAATTTGAAATGAATTGAGCTTTTAGATTTCTCCACAAGTTTATTAGTCATCTCTCCTGATGGGTGAGTTTGAAAGTGATTGGTTGTTTTTCTGTTTGTTTTCACACACTCTAGGCTACTTGTATCGGAAGGGATCGTTACCTTGACTTGAACATTCACCCTTTGTGTGTGAGATTTCCTTCTTATTGGTTGGTAAATTTTGTCTATCTCGATGTGTCTATTGATTGACGATTCACTGGAATATCAGGCTGGCTTCTAAAAATTCTCTAGCATTCTTGGTGTTTCCTCTGTCTTATATTTGAACGTTGTCCCAGTCGAATTGATGTCCTTGGTTGTCTGTATGTAGCGATATGAGGGAGTGGATGTCATGTCTTTTGATGGCTAGCTTATGATCATGGATACGAAGATGAAGGGGACCTCCACTTTGGCCAATGTAGTATTTTTCGCAGTTGTTACGATTTATTTTGTAGATGATGTTGGTTTTATCTTCTTTCTCTGTTGAGATTTTTGGCTGACATACAGCCAGCTGAGTGAAGTGATTTTGTTAGTTTGTGTGTGACGTCAATTCGTAAAGGTTTGAGGAGTCTTGCAGTGATTTCTGATATATCCTTTATATATGGCAGGGCGATTTCCTTTGTGCTTTCCTTGGGGGACTTTGATTTGATAGTTTGGCTTGGGGGTATATGTCTTTTGATGAAATTCCGTGGATTTCTATTCTTTTGGAAGACATCCATGAGATATTTTTCTTCAATTTTCCTTAAGTTGGGAGTACTGCAATGCGTGCTGGCTGGCCCTCTTGAATAGTGTTTGTATGCAATTCCTTTTGTGTGTTTTTGGATTGTTGCTGTTGTTGACATTGAGTATTTGGTCTGTGTGAGTTGATTTTCTATAAACTTGAGTTTTTAATTCCCCTGTGGTTGTTCGCTTGACTAAGACGTCCAGAAATGCGATGAGATGACTAACAAACTCGTGGAGAAATCTAAAATCTCACTTCAATTCAAACTGAAGTATGCGCTGAACATGTTGGCCTAATGGTGGGGCAATTAAAGCTTCGCAAACTAACCATTCAGCTAGCTCAGAGAACACAACCACATCAAAATCATCCACCTGAGCTACAAATCTTCTCCATCATATCTAGTTGTGCTCAGTAGGCTGGTTGACTTAATTGCATAGCTTTAGTTTTCCTCCATTGTAGACAACATCTTCAGAGCAGGTTTTAGTATTAAATGAATTCACTTAAATTCCCCAGGAATGATAGATGTAACTATATCTCCTGACAATCACTTTCGTGACTGGTTGTCAATCGTATTCACTTCAATTGGTCCAAAACTAGCTAAAGAAGCCATGCAACAACTAATCTACAGAGATGAAAACACAAAACCGTGGATGGCCGTTTCTCTCGTCTTTGGCTGTGAATTCATCATCGCTGTGTATCCGGTTTGAATCCGAAATAAGCGAAAACGTTCGTCCTGTATTCCATTGCGAGTCACCGTCGTCCATCATTGTCTACCTATTCATGATATCCATCACTGTGTGTAATAGCAGCATTGATGCAGGCTTACCGTAGAGATGAGTGAAAATAGTCTTATTTGCAATTAATAGTGTTATCTGAGCTGGTTGGTTTAGTTGCGAAGCTTTCGTCGTCCCCCTGCTGAACAACATCTTCAGCGCAATATTTAGCATAAATTGAAATGATTTAAATTCTCCATGAATGATAGAATTGCGTCTCCCAGTAACCATCTTTACATATGTACTGACCATTTTCTATTGACTTGGATTTTAAACTTTCTGGTCACCTGATTTACTTTTTATTAGTTGGTAGATTTGCTGTATATTAACATGTGTGGTTAATCGCATATTCGTTTGAGTACACCAGGCTTCTAGGAATTCCCTGGCACTTTTGGTGTTTCCTCTGACTAAGATTTTGACATTATCCCAATCAAATTGATGACCATAATTGTCTATATGCATTGATACTAAAGAATACATATGTCGTGTCTTTTCACGGCTGATTTATGTTCTTGGATTCTGGTTCGAAGGGGACGCCCACTTTGGCCGATGTAATGCCTGTTGCAGTTCATACAATTCGTTTTGTAAATAGTATTAGTTTTATCTCCTT